CAGGGAAAAGGAGCGGGAGCAGCTCTCTGCCTTACGGAAACACCACGAGGAAGAGATTCACCACCACCAGAAAGAGATTGAGCGTCTGCAGAAAGAAATCGAGCGCCATAAGCATAAGATCAAGCAGCTTAAAGATGACTAAGCTGGTGCTGTTGTTGAATGTGCATGGCCAATACTGATCATGGTGTAAATCAGCGTGAAGACTGTATTTTTTGGTCAACATAATCCAAATCCATACAATTATGGTCTGCAACAACATCAAATAAACTACTCAGTCTCACTTTCTTGCTCAGTAACTGTTCAATGAAAACAAAACATATCAACCTCACTATCTGGTTTTAAGCTTCATTTTCTTCCAAAGTAAAACTGCACTCTTGAGTAGGCAGGCCTGTATAGAACTATTTTTTAGATTTGCATGAAAGAAATGACCTTTTGTACTAAGTGGGATAACTAAAGTTGCAGGAAGAGTTGGGAGAAAATGGTACGTGTGTAGCAATCCATTCACAGAGAAGTAACTTTGTTTCAAGTAAACTTTGTGTCCTAGAGGGGTGTTATCTCCACTGAACTAGTAGGAGATTAAAACAAAAGGTTCACTTGTTGCACTTAGTGTTTAGTGCCATAAATTGAGAGAGGAAAACAGTATTCATAAACAGAGAGAATAAAGTGTTCAAGTTATCTTGTGGAGGTCCTAGTTCCTGGAGCAAGACAGCAGAGATCCTGACTTCATGTGAATGTTCTTTTCCACAGCTGCCCAGTAGATTTGGGGTTCTTTTTTCCTGTCTCAAATTCTCTGTTCCTTAGCTAAGTCTCTTTCCAAAGAAGGATGGATTAAGACTAATTTTATGCAGTTTCAATCAATTTTGACATTTTAATGTAGGAAACTCATCATAAAACACACAGTAAGTGACCTGAAACACTGACGAAGGGGAATTTCTGTATCAACAGGCAGGTAAGAACAGAATTGTTCTGTCATCCCTGTCATGTGTAAATCTGCCCAAACAGGTTTCCAGTGCAGCACTGCTGAGAGCTGCCTGTGTGACAGTGAAGGGTGGCAGTAACACTGAGCTGGGTGGGTCCTGCCTGGAACTGCCCTGTCTGAAAGTGCAGGAGGCAAATGGTGCCTTTGATGGTGAAAGTGGTTTAAAGGGTGTGGCTGAAGGTGCCCCAGTTTCTCCTGTGTTCCCTGATACATCCCCAGCCAGCTGCTCCCTTTGGGCTGCCCTCCCTTGGTGAGCATTGCAGGTAGTGGCACATCTTGTCTGCAAAGTGACACCCCTGTCACTGCATGCCCTTAAACACTGTTCTGCAATGGAGATGTCACCCACGGGATCAGCCCTGGAGTGTCCTTGCCTGGCTGTGCTCAGATGTGAGAGATGGTGTGGGGAGTTCTGCCAAGGCTGTGCAAGCTTCCCTGGGGGCTTTGTTCCTTTTAGTTTGGGCTAATTAACAAATTATGGGCACCTACCCCACCTCTCTGAACCTGGTGAGAAGAACTGAGTCATGAAAATATATATTTTTTGAACATGAGTATTTATATATAAAAGAAATATATATTATATATAATAAAATATATTATAAATATTATTTATTATTATAAATAATATAATATTTATATACAATATTACATATAATATATAATTATATAAATAATATAATTACAATATATAATTAGAAATAATTATATATTTATATATAATAATTATATATTATAATATATAATCATTATAAATAACATTATTTATAAATATTAAAATATGAATATTTTAATATATAGTAATATATTACTGTATACATAGTATATACATAAATATATAAATATAAATATAGATATACTATATATAAATATATATTTATATATTTTAGAAATATTATATTATTTGTATATTATATTAATATTATATTAAATGTATTATATTTATAATATCATTGCATTAATATTATAATATTAATATAACAATATTATATTTATATTAATATAATTATATATTTATATATAAATATAAGTTTATATATTTATATAAATAATATATTATATATAAAAATATATTGTATAAAAATATATATGTACTATATAAAAATATATACAAAATATATAAATTATATAAATATATAGTATATATACAAATATATACTATATATATTTTATATATATTATATATACTATATTTTTATATATATGCACTATATATTTTTTAAAATATATACTATTTAAAAATCCAATTTTTTACCCTTTTCAGAATGTTTCTCCTATTGTATCTATCAGCTGGGGTTGGCTTCCCCAAAAGCTGCAGAGTCACTGGTGAGAAATTTGGCACAACAGCTTCAGTGGACTGTGGAGAGCTGGCATAAATATTAGGACAACTCTGTATTCAGAAGGGAACAGACGAGGGTTTAAATTCACATCTCTGGGTTTTATTCTGCATTTGGGTGCACTAACTGTGCCATGGAAGCTCAGCCACAGAGCCTCTGCCCAAGCACCTCTAAGGGAGGGGATTTGGAGCTTTGTGATCTCCTGTGCCACAGACAGAGGTGCCACAAACTCTCTGAGGTCCCTCAGGGCTGCAGTGTACAAGTCAGTGCCTTGCTACAGCACAGGGATTTTTGGCCACCAGCAAATGGCACAAACATTTGAATGCCTTGCAGCAAGCAGTTTGGGTTCACTCACCACTCCAGGGCTGTGGAGGGAGAGGTGCCAGCTGCAGAATCCTGCTGCAGGATTCCAGAGCAGGAATGCTGGGGAGTAAAACAAGATTGCACCTCAGGCCTGGGTGAGTGCTGGGAGTTAAAAAGGCACAGGATGTCTGTATACCTTCCAGGATAACCCCTCAGTCCATGAACCTGGAAGACAGGGCTCAGTTTTCTTTTGGAAAGCTGCAAACTTCTGCCATCTGCTTCCAGCAATTCTGGTTGAGAGCGACCAAAGCCAAAGCTGATGTTTGAGACTGGTGAGGCTGCAAGGATAGAGCTGAACTCAGACCACAGGTCACAAAGGGACTGATTGTTCTGGGTTTCCTCAATCACTGTGGGATGGCTGATGGCATGACTTGTCCCTGCTGTGTCCCACAGGCACAGGGGACACAAAGGAAGGGATTCTTCTCTCTTCTCTGCCAGAACTGCTGCATCTTGGTTATTTGCTTCAGTTCTTCAGGGTTGGACTGACCCTATTCACAACATCCTCACTTCCCACAGCCACCTACAGCAAAGAAGTTTCACTTGTTGGAGCAGCCTTTATGTCTCAACGAGATGCTTTTATCCTTCCTTAACACCAGATTGTCTGTACTGTGCTCCTAAAGATCACAGCCCAACCTGCACGGCCACTGCAGGAGCAGGAAAAGTGCAATTTGTTTTCAGCTAAAACTCAGCTGGTGATTTTTGCTGCAGCAAACAAAAGCTATTTCCCAAGGTTTGTGCTGGATCCTACACAAATGTGATGGAAATTGCCAAGAATCTTTAGCTCAGGGATGGGGGAAAAAAATGAAAAGAAAGTGAGATCTAAGATCTTCAGCAAGCTGGTTTTAGTGCAAGACACCCAGGCAGCCCAGTCTGGTCTCTTTGGGCCTTTTTGTCACACCCAACCTCCCCACTCCAGAGCAGATAAAGGGAAAGAGACAAGACAAAGTGTGTTTTCCTAAAAATCAAATAAACTGTCTGAGGCAAAATAAACGTATGTGCACAGGGAAATAACAGTAGCATGGCCTCTGCAGGCAGAAATTTTCCTGAGTATTTCCCTGTTGTAGAGGTGGTGGAACACACTGGGGGTGCTCAGAAAGGTCTTTGCTGATAAATAAAGCTTGAAGATTTTTAAGATAGACCTCTGCCTGAAAGCCTGGGATTTAGCAAACACATCAGAGCTGTACAGAACAAGATATTTTACTGGAGGTGGCACATCTGTAACATATTATCCATAATATGCTGAACTAATGATTGGTCAGGATAAGAAGTCTGGAGCATCAGGAAATGTCAAATTCCTTATACAAGTTATCAGCTCACCTACAAATTACAGCAGATTCAACTCTGTCATCTTGCTGCTGATGTGAACACACAGGAATTTCAGCCCAGTGTGGAAGAGAAGTGACAGACTGATGGAACACACTGAGCCTCAGCAACCTCTGGCCACTGAACACAGGAAAATGTCAACAAGTTGAGGAGTAAATGTACAGAGCTGTGGAAAAGCTGGATCCCTTCACTTCCTCTGCTCTGTTCCCTCCTAGGTGCTGAAGGACCTGAGCAGGGCACCCTCCTTGCCAGAGAAGCCTCCTGCCCTCCCAGCAGCTGAGATGAACCCTCTCCCTGGCTCCAAGATGATTTTTGTTTTGTCTTGGCCCAGGGCTAAATCAGATCTCACATGTACCTGTTCAGCTCCAATCTCAGAGAGCTGTAGCTAGTCTCGTTCTGGGATTTTCTAGCAAAAATTATAATTGAGAAATCTAGCAAAAATTTAAATTTCATCTCAGGGCATCTAGGGTGTCCTCTCAGGCACTGCTCTGGCACTAACCCAAACACCTGCAGGCTGTAGCTTGTTCCTGGCTAGAGGTGTCAGATCATTTTGGGCTGAGGCTGTAGTGTGCAACAAGAGACCAAAGAAGAAAGCACTGCAAAGCACACACAACCTAGGGTGGGAGTTGCTAGAGATATTCTAGAAATTATTCTCAATACACATTTTGCTCATTAGCCTCATCATGTTCAGTTGCCAGCTGACAGGACATATGTCATTATACTTCATAATTCATTCCTAGATACTATATTATAAAAAATTTAAGAGCTTTACAGGACATTTATTAAGCACCACTAAAGATGCTCAGCTCCCTCAATTCCTCTCAATATTGCAAGAACTCCTTTAACCTATTATTCCAAACTCCCAGAAAAACCACTGCAGTGAACTGGGATGGACAAGGCAATGAATGATTTCCCCTCCTTCCATCTCTACACCACAGCAGACCCAACAGCCAGCACTGAAGAGCTGGCTCTAATGCCAAATCTCAAGAAGGAAATTGTCACAGACATATTTTATGAAAAATCCTTTCCTTAGGATTTTTTCTCCTGAGAAGCTGAGAGACTTCAGAAACAAAATGTAAACATTGGTTATCTGCTGCTGTGGAATGCAACAGGTGCATCTGTGATTGGTCTTACGTGGTTGTTTATAATTAATGACCAATCACAGTGAGCTGGCTTGGACTCTCTGGTCAGTCACAAGATTTTATCATTCCATTCCCTTCTTTCCTTGCTAGCCTTCTGATGAAATCCTTTCTTGTATTCTTTTAGTATAGTTTGAATGTCACTTTCT